AGTTGTGCTTACCAACAAACAAATCTTGTGTTCCCGTGGTAGGGCGACCTTGATTCTGGCCTGTCGCTATTTCGGCATCATCAACATTCACGTAGCGATGTGCAAATCTAATGAATGAAAAAATTGATCAGAGAAATAGTATCTTAATCCGTAACGAAATTAAAAATTTGATACGCGTTTTTTTGGCATTGATCCCACTAGCAACAGGTTACGCCATTTCTAAAAATGTATGTATGTCACTACGTAAGCTGCATAAGATGACACAAACACTTGCATACCGAATATGCTCATTTTACCGCCCGATCTTAATTAAGGGCCCGTTTGAATAAATAAGGTCCGGTGCTTGAATACCCGCCCGATGTAAAAGCTGATTTTTCAGTGGTGGAGAACAATAGGAAATCAAATACGGTATATCTAATACTTTTGAACGCTAGTATAAGTATAACGGCAGTTGATGAGGCTGGCTAAGACAAGAGCGGATTCGCGAAATCTGAATCCCACCTCTGTTGCTAATTCCATCCCAAAAAATAATAGAATCCATAAAGTTCTCAATTACTTCTACGAAAATGAAGCAAATATTTGTACAACTTGAACTTCTGTTTGTGTATGATTAAATCCAAAAGTCTCTTTAATTGAGGTAGCCAAGCACAATCCTTGATCATGAATCCCGACAACTAAACCCCTCGTAAAACCACTTATGATACAGTAATACATTGTTTTTAGATGTAGTCAATAATTTTGTTGCAATGAAATTTAAAAAAAAAAATTGCTAGTTTTTAAAAACTTTGGCGAGACTAACTTTTCGACCCTCCACGACCCGTACCAGGGCTGCGACCAATAATACTAAATTACACAGCCCTTCACGATAGTTGGATTTGTTTCTCTACCTCCTGAGTTGTAAGCCATTTTGTCATTCGTTGTATTTGTCGACTAGCTGATTCAATATTTAAATTTTTTTACGACGATTATTCACGCCTTTTTGTCTGAACTTTGGAAGGCAACACTGATATTCGATAATATTCAAGGAGATGTCGGATTACATATACACCAGGGGTGCAGTCAGGAGGGGGGGAGTGAGGTTTGGAACCCCCCTTTGAATATCATACATATTGTGTATCAAACATAGCATTTTTTTCTTATCTTGAAACGTATTTTTAGACACTCTTGAAAACCCACGTTTGCCATTCTCCGTCAAGACTCACCACTACCTTCTAAAGTTTAACTTGGCAATTGGAAATTTCAGAACACTCCCCACCCCTTCGAAAATTCATGACTACGCCTCTCATACCCACCACCAATGTTCCCTCTAATTTTTGTAGTATGTGTGCGCAGAAATTTTGGTGTGTGAGCACTTTTTTGGAAATGACTAATATTTGTGCAAAAACCAATGAAGAAATTTTGACGTTCTGACCGGGTAATAAGTGGGCTTATTAAGAAAATTTTGGTTATTCAATAGGTTTTTCTATAGATTTTAAATGCTTTAGTGAAGGCTATATGTTATCATTAGATAACAACGAACATACATGGAAAATAGTAAATGAAATTGATTGTAACAGATGGTTTTATTTGAATTCAAATAAAGCGTGAAAATATAACAAAAGAACATTGTTACATTACATCGAAATACGTCTGTGCGCAGTAAATGTATGCGTGTGCGCAGCCTCTGAAGGCTGTGTGCGCGCGCACACGCGCACACCATAGAGGGAACACTGCCCACCACCTTACCCGATACCCAAGGTGTAATAAATGGAGTAGGAAATTCCAAACTAGAAAATTCCATAAATAGTAGCCGTTTACATATCTGTGGCTGCCTCCACAAGGCCTCTTTCTGAGCAAATGGCCCAAAATAAGAGTCGTACAAAGTAGAACAACGGTGCACAACCTGCGGCCATCGTTGAAAAATAATGCAGCCGTCCACATACAAAATCCTATAAACAAACTGAAAAAAATTCAAAAAATAGGATTTGGCGGCTATGCTTTGCAAATTTTTATAGAATAAATTCATCAAAATATTTGACATTATATTATACTTTTAGGGACAAGAAAATGGGGGTGACTTCATAATTGGACAGACTGCACCTCGCATGGGTAATAAATACGCGACTAGGACGTCATAAAAGCCGAAAAAAATGTTTGTGCGACTTCGGCGCTTATTAACCCACTGGAGGCCGTATAGAATACAAATAAATGCTATGTGGCCACCAATAGCAAAAAGGTTGTACACCCCTGAAGTAAAGTGTCACTTTGTCTTTTCAAAAATATCAGCCCCATAGACATCAGAAAACGCTTCAGTCTTGTTCCAAGCGGATGAAGCAAAATGTGCATCGTTTTAAATAACGTCTCTATTATTTACTACACCAAGATATCACTAACTTAATGGTTCTCAATTTTTCTAGTGTCAGAGTCAAATTTAAAACCTTACAATTGTAAAGAGTCGCATAAAAACAACGCACATTAAAATAGCAACTCAAGTATGTATTCTAAAATAACAACACCAACAAACTCGGGATAAAAATAAATTCAACGCTAAACTTTACACTGGCTTTGACTTTTAATTCTAAAGTCTGAAAAAGCGAGGCGCTATCGTAATTGTAATAATCTCTATCAATACATATAACAATCGCTAGTTTCATATTTTTATCATGATATCTAGTTTTCTTCTAAAGTGAAAGGTAAAATCAGTTTTGCGCCTCGCATTGTGGGCTTCCATCCTACTGTTCCGTGCCTCCCTTGAAACCTCTGCACTACACCTCAATAAGCGCAAAGGCCATTCAATGTGTGGCGTTTAATCACTACAGTGGTATTTACTCGCCTTATCTATTCATTGGCAATTTACTTAGGTCTCATTAAGCTTGGCCCGACCCTAATTCGCCACGTTTAATTTTCAATTTATCTATTGCCAAAGTTGATCTAGTTATGACCTGTATACGCGTAATGACGAACTTTAAATCGCTAATGGACACTGCGATCTTATGAACAAATATTTGAACAAACGTTTTGCGAATACGGAAACTTTACGTGATAAGAAAACAATCAACAAATATTTAACAACAAAGTACAATAGGTAATTCAAGAGTCACTAACACAAATATATTTCTGAAACGTTTTGTATGACCAAGGTTAGACTTCATCAGACATCTCGATTTTAAAACCCGTGCCCACAATCTCACCCAGGGTGCAACAAATGTTCGTTGATCTGTTTAGGGTTGCATGATACACACCTCTGGTTTATCGTATATCAGCGATTTTGCCAATTCCGATTCAAAAGAAAAACTCAAACTTCGACCCCAGTTGAGCAATAACAAATTGTCTTAAATAAAACTCATTTGCAAGTGGATTTTAGTTTTATTGAGTTATTCAGTAACGCTTTTCGACTTCTTGTTATGACTTTCTTGCTGTCAATGCAAGAATGCATAAACTATGAACAAAAAAGAACTCTAATATGGTTAGGGGAACTCTTACGATACTAAATCGAATACTTACTCTTAAATGTTGAAAACTTGGAACTCCAGCTAAAACGTATCTCAGAAATTCGAGGGCTTCAAGACAAAATGGCGAATGTACAAATTTTCTAAAAAATATCGATTTATTTGAAAATATCAAAAGGAAATAGGTTGTCTTGATATCTAACCATAGTTTGGAGCAATATTCACAGTTACGTGAGTTTAAAAACCTAAATACACACATTTTTGGCGCTTCAGAAGTGTGTACCAATATGGAGATAACTATACTTATATAATCTATCTTATTTTCTCAAAACAGGGGTGCAGCCCTCGGATTGCAGTAACAGAAAGTCACAAATTAGGGGGCGCTATTGGGTGACACGTGACAACGGCGACGCGGAAATGTACGAGAGAAACATAAGTGAATGAAATTTGTTGAATAAAACAAGGGCACCGGATAAGACCTAATATGGCAGCAATTTTGCGGTCAAATCGAATATTCGATTACGTGTTTTCACTAATTTGTGTGTCTGAAGGATCCATTACAATAAAACAGTCAATACAACTAAATATCTTTCAAGTATTCGAGATATGGTTCGAAAAATATTCGATTCGATTCTAAAATCATCAGATTTTCAAAAATGCCTAATTGTTAGTTATCATTGGCTGCTTGTGTAAAGACTTTCCTTTCAACTTAACAAGGTCGGCTGCATTTGAATTCGGCACTCTTCACTTGCGGCCCAGTAGCTAAAGAGTTAACTGTAATTCTAATTTTACCGCAGAAACCTTATAGGGGCTAACTGGCTCATTAGCGCAAATTTGAATATAAAATCACGTGACCTAGGTTTAGAATGTCGGTTGGGGTTTTGTTTTGAAGTTTCTTCGATTACCTACCTGACCATACCAGATCAAGCTTGATACGGCAATTGAAAGCCAAAAAATAACGGCTTTATGTGAAACACGATGACGCACAACCTTACAATTTTTCACATGTTGTGTGACATCTTTTAGCACATTCTTCAGGAGTACCAAAATAACAACAAAAAATGTTCTCGCGTGATTCATGCCCATGTTATTGTTACATAAAATACAAAACTAATTTCTACGACTTCAAAATAATGGACTTCGCGCCATACAACGACCTACTTTTGACATCTGGACGTGATAAAACGACGACACATGCTTTGCATGGACCGCATTACATCGTCTCAGCATGACGCTCTACCGATTGACATATATACGGCAAAAGGCACTATCTAGCGCGACTGACGGAAATGTGGCTCTATGCCGTGAATGTCCTTACATGATTCATGTTCGTTCTATTGTTGCATGAACATGGAAACTAATTCTCTATGACCTCAAAATAAACAATGGCCTACATATGACATCAGAAAGTGATGAAGCGAAGACATTACACTCAGCAAGACACTATTGATTGACGACACATTTAGCTTTAGTAAAACAGCGGGTGCTCATCTCGTAAAAAGCAGAGCATTGTTTACGAGTCAAGATAAAATGATGAGAAACTTATAACAAAGTATTACTTTACTTGCAACGATGACGACTAGACGATTTTTCGATTCTATTGAAGCTTTGAGACGCTTAGACGAAATAGAGGATGACGATGAAGTCATTGGTGAAATGGAAAGTTCAGGCGACGAAGTCGATGTATTAGAGGCACAACCTGAGAGCGAATATGAGGAGAGCTCAGATTCAGACGTACCCGGCCCTTCGAATGCGCCAGCCCGCAATGTTCGTGGTTCGCAGAGAAGCCGTAGAAGAAGAGCAGTGGCAGGTCGACAGCGAGGAAGAACGAGAACCACAACCCCATCAGGTCCACAACTAAACTGGCAGAAGGTGGTAAATCCCCGTGTGATGCGTCAATTTTCCGAAAGAATAGGGGTACAAAAACGATTTCCCCCCCACACTACAAGTTTGGATGTCTTTTCACAATTTATTACCGCAAATGTAATCGCCCTAATTGTCGAGATGACAAATCTCAATGCCGAGCGGAAGATTGCAGCTTCTGGAGGCAGCCAGACGTGGAAACCGACGACCGCGGAAGAAGTGAAAGCATTCCTTGGCCTAATTATTATCATGGGCCTAATAAGAATGCCACAATTGACCATGTACTGGCAGAAGAAGAACTGGATTTTCGACTGGCCCACACCAAACAAAATAATACCAAGAGATCGCTTCAAACTTTTATGGAAATACCTTCACTTCTGTGATGAATCCAAATCCCCATCGCCACAGGACCCACTAAGAGATAGACTCTATAAGATTCGACCACTTCTTGAACTTGTGGAACCCACGTTACTTTCAGTTTATACCCCAGACAAATATATAGCAATTGATGAATCAATGATACCATTCAAAGGTAGAATAAGCTTTCGGCAATTTATACCCTCAAAACGTGTTAGATTTGGAATAAAAGTCTGGGTTTTGGCAGAATCGAAAACAGGGTATGTTTCCAAATTCCAAATTTATACTGGCAAGGATCCACGAGTTCAAGAAGTGGGATTAGCATCTAGGGTGGTATACGATCTAATTGATCCGTTCCTAGATAAGGGTTACCACCTATATGTAGATAACTTTTATATATCAACAGAACTTTTTAGAAAGTTATACGAAAACATTGTTTATGCATGTGGTACAATGCGCTTGGGAAGAAAAAACTTTCCAAGCGAAGTTGTACTTACTAAAAGAACTCATACAAGAGGTGACAGTGAATGGACAATGGCCCACGAGCTTCTCTGTCAATCGTGGCTTGACAACAGGCCGGTATATTTTTTATCAACAATTCACAAGCCTGATTACGAGCCAGATGTTCCAATGGAACTCAGAACTGTGAAAAGAAGGGGTGGGCGTGGCATGCCATCGCAAGACATGCCATGTCCACCTCTTCTACATGATTATAATAATTATATGGGCGGGGTGGATTTCAATGACGCTATGCGAAAGTACTATAACATTGGAAGACGTTCCAAAACATGGTACAGACGTATTTTTTTTTACCTAATCGAAGTAGCGTTACACAACAGTATCGTGGTGGCGAAGGCTATTTTGCCTGAAAATGAAAGGAAAAAATTCGTGCCATTAGAATGGCGAAAAGATTTGGTCACGAAATTGTTGGGTGATTTCAGGACCGTTCGCGTGCCACCACGTCGCTCTAGTGAACAACTTGAACTAAGACTCCAAAATGTAGGGCTTCATTTGCCGTCTTGCGAATCTGCAAGGTTTGCTCTGTGAAAGAATCCCATAAGCAGAGAAGGGGTGGCCCTAAATATGTTACGAGATCGCGCGTAATTTGTCGAGAATGTGGCGTACATCTTTGTGTAGCTCGCGGAAAAGATTGCTTTACGCAATGGCACACAAAGAAAGAATTTTGGCGATAATCACGCCCTTTCTCTTCCATGTGATACCTTCACAGAGCAAACCTTTATAATTTTATGTAAAGTATTTGTTTTTCAGTTAACGTATTTGTAACCTTTATAATTTCATGTACAGTTTTTGTTATTTTGTTTGACCGTTATCGTATTTGTAAATAAAATATATGTTATGCCAGCAAAATAGCAATGTTTTTATACACGAAATATAAGGGAGTGATATTATCACAGACGATAAGGCAGCGTTAGGTCTAATCGATCGCTCAGACTCAACTGAGCCGAATGACAATTTCTTTCACGACAGGCGTATTACTCGCTCAAAACACACCAGTCTTGTGTTGACAGAATCGTAGTAACAAAGCGCAGCGAACTGTAAAGACATAAACAAGTAAGATGCGAGAATACGCTGTTCACAGTTGACTGAATACCAGGCATGTAAATTTTTCTCTTCAATTTTCCGCGTTTGAAGCGACGTCATCGGAATGGCTTTGCGTTTACGGTCCTCCAGTGACATCTAGCGTATAGATCTTGAAAAGACCTTTGCAATGATATATAATAATCGATATATTTGATAAATTTTGGGGTCTTTAGACTTAAATAAAAATGGGTATACAAATTGGGCAAGATTGATCGTCTGAATCAGGAAATAGGTTAACTTTGCTTTCGTATCTAACCATATTTTCAAGCAATATTCGACGGTGCAATTTAGAATCCTACTATTATAAGATGAAAATACTTAAAAATGCAGATATTTATAAAACTGAAGTGCTGAAAATTATGCACCAACATCATAATAAAAAACTGCCGGCTGCATTCTCCGGCTATTTTGTTAAGCAAAGCGTCATTCACTCTCATGCAACTCGGTCTTCTGCCAATAGCTCATATTATATGACTCGCTATTCATCTAGCCGCACACAAAATTCCATTAAGTTCATTGGTATAAAACTTTGGAATATGCTTCCAGTTACCATACGCTCTAAGAACTATAATACATTTAAAAAAATTAAAAAATCACTACCTCAATGCTTATAACATCCAGTAGTCTAATTCACTGGTCATCAATCCTGTATTTGATGACAATTTTGCTGAAAGTGATGTTTTTCTTATTTGTTCATATCATTCATTTCCAGTGTTATTGAATATTTTCACTATTCTTCCACAAGCTACGTTACCCCAAATCTCTTCGCCGTGTACTTAACCTCTCGTATTGTGATTCTGTTGCCAAACTTCATTATGTATTTATACCTCCAAAACTAATTCCCTTATTGTGGTTTGCTGGGAATTCCCGTAATTTATCTCCGCAAGGCAGCGTCATGTCAATCAGAAGCCCGACAGCTGTGACGGTGCCGACCCGAGCATGACGCTGACGATTTGAGCATTTTTTCCCCTCCTGACGCGCTCTTGTTTTTCTCTCGTTTCTCATGATTATCGATTTAACTATTTTCTCCTAACTGACTTCCCCAATTCGACTTACATTTTCCAAATTGTGTTCATTCAAAAAATATATATGTTTAAATCCTGTTTATTTAACTTCATCTGCTGCTGTTTACAGCTATTTAGGTGTCGCTGACACGTTAACTTTATAGTTTATTCGCGACTCCTCGTCTATTGCAGTCGAATTATTGTACGTCTGTTATTTCTTCTCTCGATTTATTTTTACTGTTTATTTGTACAATATTTCTTGCATGACGGAAATAAATATCTGAATCTGAATCTGAATCTATTCACAGTTATGTGACTTTTAAAAGCAAAATATACTTTTTCTTATTTTCTCAAAACAGGGGTGTCACCTTCGAATTGCAGTAAGCAGAAAATCGCAAAAAAGGGGGCGCTATTGAGTAACATTTTGTCAGATCAGCGACGCGGATATATATGAGAGACAAAAGTGAATGAAATTTGTTGAATAAAGCAAGGGCACCGGATTTGTGTGTCTGAAAGACTCATTACAATAAAACACAATACCACAGCATATCTTCCAAGTATTCGAGATTTTATTCGAAAAAATATTCGATTCGATTCTGAAATTCCCAGATATTCGAAAATGTCCAGTCCTAGTTGTTAGATATCATTTGCTGCTTGTGTTGGAACTTGTTATAGCAAAAGGCGCGTATATGAGTCGTATATGAAACTGATGTAACGAACATATTTTGGGCATATTTTACATAAGTTGCCTTCACAGGCGTAAACACCAGACCTGGGCAAAGTACGGCCCGCGGGCTAAATCCGACCCGTTGGGTAATTCAATCTGGCCCGCCTGATGCAACCACAACCAAACTAAAATCAAATTTTGATGTTTCAGTTAAAATACCTCAAGGAATTTGTTGAGATTGCGTTTAAATTTAGTTTTGGCACGAGGCATATTGTTTTCCACTTTTGTTGTACACTGTAAATATTGTTCATAAAATGTAAGCTTTAACGTCACATTTACATATCTGGTATCTGTCTGAGCGGGCAAAATTTTTGGCCCCTGGTTCGAAAACCTTGCCCACCCCTGGTACACACTTCCTATCAATACATGTATGCCTGGCGATGTAAACATGTTTTGCTCTTCTGGAATCACGGATTTAGTTCATTTTTTATTTATCCAGAGGAGAGGAAAGTTGATAGGGCGGGTCCATGATATGATAGGATTTTTGTTTTTATCTTGAGAAGAGGAAAGCCGATAAGAGGGTTTAATTATCACATAAGATGTTGATATTTATTGTAAGGGAGAGGAAAGCTGATACGACAGCTTTATCATGGAATTGGGTTTTTGTATGTATTTATCCCGAGAGAGGAAAGTTGATAAGACGGTCTTGTCAAAGGATAGGATTTTAATTAATATTTTTTGCGGAAATGAAGGCTGATAAGGTGGCCCAATCACAGAATAGGATTTTCATATTTATTCCGAGAAAGAAAAGCCGATAAGACGGCTTTATCTTAACATGTCATCCAGAAGTCGCGAACCCCGCCAATTGGGAATTTTCAACATCGTTTCGAGTTGGCCTCACATGATGTAGTGGTATATGGCACTGGAATGATGCCGGTTAAAATTACCTGTTAGTTCTGTATCATGTGTGTAACATGGATAAAAATGCTTGTTATTGAAAGTAAAGTTTGTTTCTTCCGTTACGCCATGTTTTACATGTGTTTCTCGTAGACAGACATGGGTGTGAACACTGTATAACTAGGTTAGACTACTTCGGCAATTTGTATTTTTGAAGGGAATTCGTTCAACGCTAGGTCACTCGCACTAACTGACATACAAAAAAGATTGAGTGAATTGACAAGCGAGCACAACAAACCCCAAGAGTTACGAAGAATATTAGAAACTATAGGGTAGAATTGCACTTAGTGAAATACCAAATGGCTTTTCCTTCAGCGTTTACTTATTTGTGCAAAACTTCATTTCACAAGCAAAGTATGTAAAGTGAGCGCAGGATTTTAATTGTTACAATTTGTCATTCTGAGTTGAGTTTTTGGCGCTCTAGAAGTTTGTGCACCAATGTGGCGGACACCGGAACGTAGTATGTGTACCACGTTAGGGTTAGGTCATAATTTCATTCCAGTTTTCCCTATTTTTGTCCTATTATGAGTTCGGGACTAGCCAAGTGACTCCCGTAGTATTTGTACTTAAAATTATGGCCCAACCCTAACCTGGTACGCATACTACGTTCCGGTGTCCGCCATCTTAGTTCACACACTACGAGAGTACCGAGTTTTTTTTTTTTAAATTTACCGAAGTATCTGGTCGGGGATTGGTAACCACTGTGTTAATGTTTTATATTTGGAATTTTTGAAACTAATGCATGTGCGGTCACAAAATTACTAATTTTTTTTTCACAATTCAGTTTTGAGTCCTATATTATAGTCATGACTGTAAAACTATGTTTATTGCTCGCTGTTTTCATCGGGTTAGCTTGGAAAATACCGATCGCAGGTTGCCAGATTTCTCAGTCGGTTCCTTTTCCTTCCAAATCAGACTCTTGCAATGTTGTGCAATGCAGTTGCGGGGCGGACAGACAACAAAAAGAAGAATCTCAAACTAGAAATCCCGGAGCTCCGGGCAAAATGGGGCCCGTGGGATTGGCCGGACCAAAAGGAGAAAGAGGAATCAAGGTTGGTGTGATTGGGTTTCTGACTGTTGTAGAAGGAGTCGCAACCGGAGTGAAATCCCCGAATCTGGTAGAATTTTAGAAGACAGGTTGCAAAACTTTTTGTCTCGAGTTCGAATATTTTTTGCTCATACAGTATATGAATTTTTCAGGGACCGTACATTTGAACCCATACATTTGCACCGGTATATCCGCTGGTTCAATTTATATTGGGGTGCTAAAATCCATGGGTTAGGGTTAGTATGGGTTCAAATATCCGTAAAAAAAATTCCATAGGTGCAATTGTCGTGGATTCTAATTACTGGTTCAAATGTACGTGGGTTGATAATCGAACCGAATTTTTTTGTTCGACGATTATTCACGGCTTTCGCTGCGAAGTAGGCTCTGTACAGGTGGCTACTGATGTCTTACGATATGTAAGGAGTTAGTATTATGCATGTGACCCACTGAAGGTTTCCGGGTGGCCCGCGGTTTTATTCGAATTCCAATGTCTTTCACAAATCTGGACCATCATTGAAACCTCTAATAAAAAAATTATTCATCGTAATTCAAACGCGCGAGGAGCACCACCCAGCTATGGAAAGCTTATTTATGTCATTTTGTGAGTGTTCTTGCTGGAGAGAGATGTTTGAATTTATTTTTATCGTCTGCCATGTATTTCAATCTGTTTTTCTATATTTTTTCGTGAAGCTAGAAGAGGCAGTTTTTATGACCCCAATATTTGACAGCACTTAGGCTATTTGTACGAGCAAGTTTTTTGCGGATGAACCATGTCAAATCCTTATTGCTGGGAATGATTAACCGGTTAACCGATTTTACATGGTTAACGGTTACAATTTATTTTAACCGTTAACTGACATCTCAGGTACCAATCATTTTTATACTGTACAATTTCTTTAAAAATGATTACGTCATCGCGAATTTATCTCCTGTGGCGTTTAATTCGAAAGAATATCACTAATTGTGTGGGTAAGGACTCAATAAATGTGAAAAATAATTAAAGTACCAACATTGTTGATTATGAAAATTCACAATGATAAATCCAGAATCAGTTTTCGGTCGAAATATATTGTTCACAATTTTATTGCAAATTCAATGTCTTCCAACAAGTGCGCCGATGACGCCATTTTTCTTTATGATATCTCGAAGTAGAATTTGTACATCGAACACTGAAAATTTGTCACATAAATGAGATGTTTGTCCGAACCACGCTGCATATCTCTTGCAGCAGAGCAATCATGTACTATCTCGATTTGAATAATTTTGAGAGATACCGGGATAAGATCACGCGAAATTGCTTTATAACCATTGTGACGTAACAAGCTGAAATAATAAATTACTACGTCAAATGTCACGCTGCGTTTAACCGGTTAATTTTACTCGGTTAAGGGTTAAAGTGTTATGTCTGAAATTCTCAGGCCCACAAATTCCCCGTGAGATCCTAATTTCGGACAGTCATATGAAAAATTCGCTATGCATTGCTATATTGTCCATCGCACCGAATATTGAAAAACCTATTGAATAAAAGCGGTGTCATACTTGACGATAAAATATCTATGTGTGGTAAAAATCTTTGACTTAACTGTATCTTCCTATTTTCATTGTTTTTTTTTTAATTTTGGTGTGATGGTTTTGTTTGTTTTTCCATGATTCTGTAGTCGGTGTAGTGAAAACTAGAACATAACAATCATGTCAAGTGGTCCGCGCAATCATTGGTAAACTCAATGTGGCCCCTTGGCCAAAAAGGTTGGACAACCCTGGCCTAATGCTTCATTGTCGCACTCAAAACATGTATACGATATTCATAAAAACAGAACACGATAGTCACAATAATATTGAGTTTTTTTTTTTTTAATGAGCTTTGTAAGGTAATACGGTACCTCTTTAAAACTGTTGCGTGTGACAAATTATTGGGTACATCCGAGGTATATGAACCAAGCTGGAGGGCACCGGAACCTAGTATGTGTACCAGGTTAGGATTAGGCTATAATTTTATGTACAAATACTACGGGAGTCACTTGGCTAGTCCCCGAACTCGTAATAATCGTTTCAGACTACGAAAAACTGTTATGTATGATAAAGAAAAATGCTTTTATTTTTTTACAATTTGAAAGGGGGGGATTCGACCCCATAACGCCCCTAAAAGTCTGCTTTTTAGTTGTCCCGGGTTCGAATGAGAGCTTTCTCCAAAACCTCTTGTCTACTCAGGCTAATAAGATTTGAGAATTATCTGCAGATAAGATACGTTATGATACATCAGATGTAAAGATGGAGTCCGCCGCTTTCGCTAGTTTGAAAATTGGGAGAATATTTCCAAACTCCAGGAGTTTAAATTTTGCCAATATGGAGTAAATAAAGACATTTTGACCTGGCAAAAAAGCTGTATATACATACCTTATTGCCAAGGCCGCCAAAGTGATCATTTTATAAAGTAAAACAAACAACCTCATCAATACCAAATGGGGTCACTATGGCAGTAGCCGAGTATAGAATTTTAAAATTGAAATACCTCAGAATAAGTCATGTAATTTCCAAAGGTATAGAAATCAAATTCTTGGTATAGGAGTCAATATTTTATTTCCAATCTGTGATTAGGAAACCGGAATAATAACCTAAAACTTGAACCAAACTTTGGTATGGTTTCCGCAGATTGAAAATTCATTTGAAACATAATAACTGCTAATACTAAGTTGTGATGATCAAATGTTTGCTAATTTTTTGAGCTAAAGTCCTTTTTTTCAAAATCAGGGGTAAAATATTTTGCAAACCTGAACTTGGGCCAGTTTTTAGTTTGATTTCAGCTGTTTTTTTTCTCGACTTGACAATCTTGGTAAATAAGCTACTGCTATAAACTGAATTTCTTTTCCAGGGCGAGGGAGGAAGCAAAGGAGAGAGAGGCGAAGACGCTGACAAGAGGAGGATTAACGAAATTGTTTCCAGAATGTTAAGTAAGATCATTTATCAATCTCGTGTTGAAATCCCATACCACCCACTTCACCCAGACTTCATGATATAGGTACGCAATTGCTCAAAAACGTAACTAACGTAACGTAACTAACCGGTAGAATGACGTGTCGAATCCTCATGTCGAAATGACTCGAGTCAACAAAGAAGGTGACTCAAGTCGAGTCGCGAAAACGCGCAAATACGATGAAAGATTCATGTGAATTAGCGCAAGTTCAAACAAATATGGCGACTATTGTATTGTACTGTAGCAACCTAAATATCTATTCTAAACAATCACTTATACACATGCGGGAACAAGGTAGTTTCTTTATCACGCATAGAATTCTTTCTCTGAAGTTTCTCTGAATAGAAGTTCGAAACGTCGGCAAATTATATCGTTTTGCTAACGCCGGTTGTGCTTTATCTATCATCGATATAAATTTACCTGGTGGCAATAATGCGCTATTTGATATGACATTCGGTACAATTATTTCACCATTTGATATGACATTCGGTATAATGCTTTTTAACATTTCATATGACATTCGGTATAATTCTTTTTAACATTTTACATGACACTCAACATAATTCTTTAAATTTTATATGACATTCGGTATAACACATTCAACATCTGATATGACATTCGGTACAATTATTTCACCATTTGATATGACATTCGATATAATGCTTTTTAACATTTCATATGACATTCGGTATAATTCTTTTTAACATTTCGCATGACACTCGACATATTTCTTTAAATTTTATATGACATTCGGTTAACACTTTCAACATCTGATATGACATTCGGAACAATTATTTAAAAAAAAAACATATGACATTCGGTACAATTCTTTCAACATTTGATATGGCATTCTTTTTTTTTTTGAAGATTTATATGACATTCGGTATATTGCTTTTAACATTTCATATGGCATTCGGTGAAATTTTTTATTTTATCGGGCATTTCGCATGACACTCGGTATAATTCTTTTACTATTTCGGTACTCCCGAAGTACAGGTACCAGGTTAGGCAATAGTTTTATTTCGATTTTCCTTATTTTAGTTCTCTTACGAAGTTCGGGGAATGTCTGTTTCAGCCAAGCAAATATATAACCTGACCATAGGTTACAGTCCCTTTACACAACTTGATGTAAAGTATGCGATTTATATAACATTCGGTACAATTCTTTTGGCATTTCATATGAAATTCGGTACAATTCTTCTAGCATTTTATATGACATCCGGCACAGCCTTAATTGGGAATAGATTAGCGTATCTGTAACCATAGTTCACTACATCCTATTGTCTCTGCTTTCCTCTTGTAAAATATTATATTTCACGCAGGTGCAACAAGCTGCCAGGAGCTCAACGAAGTGCACGGAGTCATCGCTACCGGATACTACCCATTGCGTGACAATAGAACAAGTTCAATCGTCTCATTTTATTGCGATTTCGCTGTGTATGAAGGTGGGTAACGGAGTCAATTGGTGAAAACTTCACATTATGGCTATTTTGTTATCAAAATTTTCAAGAATCCTTTGCAAAATTGTTGTTGTTCGGGCAAAATGGGTTTTCAATCCAAACTATGGTCGAATTGCTTCAAGTTTTCAGCCATTATTAGTGAAGCTCCATTATTATAATTGTTCATTTTGAAACCTGAAGATTAGTCTGCATAATTCCTCCAAAACTTTTACCTTTAAAACAAGTTTCAAGTCGTCAAACTACGTTGCCTGTGAACTATCGCTTGTTTACGGCCCGTGCACCTACAAAACGAAAAAGCCATTCCCGATTTTTCAAGAACTCCAGAACTGTGAAATTCAGTACTTCATGGTTACTTTTTAATCTTGCTATAAAGTCTCGCATCAATCGGTTTTACTGCCCCTAACGACTTTTGGTTCAATAAAGCAAACACTCTTTTTGTCTCTGAAACGAGGGAGTCTGGCACGATCGTATTGCGCCCGAACGCGCCACGCTTGTATCGAAAACACAGTGCAACACACTTTTGTCTCCGGCTTCTCATTAATATTGTTATTTTCTAATGGGTTACACACTCATTTTTTGCCCACTCTACCATCAAAAATATTATAAACACTAATATTTTTTAATGTATTCAGACGTAACTGATTGTGCTGAGCTTTTCTCCAGCCATGGGATGTCGACACACGGATTTTACCGGTTTCCAGACAGATTGGGAGAAGTTCCATCTTATCACCATTGCGCAGGTATGATTAGGACGCTTGTCGTAATGTATAAAGTCGGTAACATGAATTTTTAAAACACTTGTTGTAATGTATCGAGTAGGTACTAAAGTGTTTTCTTGCCTTGCATCATCACATCCCTAGTTGTGGAGTCAGAGATAAATTACAATCAACCCCTGAAATCGAATTAAAACACTATACACAATCCCGGGTTAGGACAATTTTTGGTGCTCCAGAAGTGTGTATATCCATATGAAGGTAACTAATTTGGTTCGCCTACTTTACATCAAATTGTGTAAAGGGACTGAAACCTATGGGCAGGGGGTATATTCACTTGGCTAGCACAGACAGTCCCCGAACTCGTAATATAATCAAAATTAGGAAAATCGGAATAAAATTATGCCCAAACCCTAATCTGGTACACATACAATGGGAGTACCAAAATGTTAACCTCCATCCCTAGCTTAAAAATTTGCAATCGGTTCTCGAATCCGGATTAAAAAACTTTCCGAGTAAAGAAAAACTTCCGACTCCGACTTGTATTACTTCTGACTTCAGGTGTAAAATCCAAGTTTCATAACGAACACTCTGGCGCGTGCATGTTTTCTAAAACCAGACAGTTGAAACGATTAGTAAAATTGAAGAGCATTAATGAGTAATTTTTGAGCATTACAAGTTTTCACTGATATCTGGAAGGCCCAGCAACTTTCTGGCTGGGAATTTTCTTTCCTATTTATTACCCGGTATGTGTCATCACAGTCGATTCTAACGCTTCAACCTCTAATCTAAGTCACCGCGTCAATTAATTTAGTTATATTGCACTTCTGCAGATCATTTCACATGTCATCAACTGCAGAATAAAAATAGGACCCTTGCATCCGGGTACTATCGGCTGGGTTTGGCAGGAGATTCCTACCAAGTATGGTGTGAGTTCGGCTTCGGACCAGGTAAGTCCCAAATACCAATATCAGTTTGGTGTAAAATTATAATGCCTAGTGGGTACAATCAGGGCTGAAGAGCCAGGGCCATGGCGTTTTGTTGTAGCTATAGTCAAGCCTACCATATTAAATGAAACCGGAGATGTCAGGAAATTCAGTAGGCTCCAGCTCCTAACCATCTAGTTCCTTCTTCACGTTTGAAACTTTTAATATTTCATAAAAATAATAAAAACTATCTTTTTTCAGCTCAATACTTTTCAAATTGAAAACTAATATGTCACTTTCTCTTTTATCTACAGCAATAACCAAAGTATCCCACGATTCGACAAAAGAGTTTTCAATTCCAGCCTGTGAAGACCGTGGTTGCTACTCCAAAGTTCCGCGGTATGACTTAGCAAAAGACAAAATACTGAAAATCATGGAGCAGTCAGGAAGATGTCGGCAATATATTAAGGTAAACATAGTAGAATTCAAAGCCTGATGATGCGACAAATGGTATTGTGTGAAGGTCTTTGCTCGTGCCCCCAGAAAACCATTCATGAACCCCTTGTGTGATTGAGAAGATGGGAGGGGGGGGGGCATAAACACTATGTCACAATATGTATTCCGGTACTAGATTGTGAAGATGCTTTCTACACGATTCCGATCCATTTTGAATTGACCCAAAAAGACCACGCGCAACCACGAAGGAGAGTAGCCATTGAAATGCGGATAGCTACTGAAGCTATGGTAAAGCATTACCGACGCCAACTAAGAGGTAAAAAAGATTCCTCTCCGATTATAGTTACGCGCACTCACTAAGAAGTAAAGAAGACTTAGCACTGAGAAAAACGCCGTACCAAGTATATGTTTCATAACCTATAGCTGTCTAACCGGTGTCATACACAAATTCCATCGTATGCTTTCTGAAAAACCTGCTATATGCGGTAACGAAAATTTAATCTGCTATTACTCAGCCGAGCAGTTACCCCGCTCGATGGTGCTTGGAGTCTCTCTTTTGCATTAACGAGCGCCTCTGGATTTCCACTCCTCCAGATACTTAACGTTTCTAATATACTTATCCTTATCTTATTCTGCTCGTATATGTAAGTTGCGTATTTTCAGTATTGAGGGAAAAATAAATTACTGATAACTACCAGTGGCACATTGTCTACGCCGGAACTATAGTAACATCGGCTCAGTTTGAAAAGTATGTTTTCGCATGGTTATCTCATTTATCCTAAACAACTACAAGTCGAAGTGAATGCCACAGGAAGTTGAATAGAATTTGGGCGCAAATACTTACAAACTTACAATTTGCGTTATATGTTCGGCATAAAGTTCGTGAGCAGCGAGCGTCAAAACAAACTGATGTACGATACCTGATAATTCAATTATGAGCGCAGGTATCTACTGCACTCAAACCATGAAGATAATGAAAGCAGTGCAATAGTAAACAAACAAAATAAATTTGCGTCTAACCAATCGGCAATTTCTATACCGAGTGTTTGTATATGAATATGACGTATTTTCAGATCGGTGGAAAAATAAATTACTGATTACTGTCAGGAGCTACTGAAACTATAGTAAATAGAATTACAGTGGAGCATCCAGTCGCAACGCTCAGCTCAAGTTGAAAAGAACTGAAAAATAGCTATTCGAAAATTGCAGATTCCTCATTAAATAGCGAAAATAAAATTTAAATTCATAATAGCGGAAATAAAAATTCCTTATTGAATTTATTTTTTAAAGTGTAATAAAATATGCCTTATTCCAGTACCGATGTCAAGGATCCATGATATTAAGAGAAATTGATGCTTGGTGGGTGTCAAGAGAAGGAGAAAAAATGATTTACTGGGGAGGCGCGACTTCCATGAGGAACAAATACTGTGCATGTGGTGAAACAGGTACTTATTACTTATTACACGTACTCATATTACGCTATTTTAATGCAAGGATGAAAAAAATTAAATAAAGAGAATCGGGTATTTGAATACATTCAAAATTGTTTATAAGCAACATTGAAAATCATTGATTTTAAATCTTTTCTTTTTAATTTAAGAGTTTATATCTGCCACGGGCAAAGTACGGCCCGCGGGCCAAATCCGGCCCGTTGGGTAGTTTAATCTGGCCCGCCTGATACTGCCACAGCCAAACAAAACCAAATTCTAATGGTTTAGCTGAAAAATATCTCAAGGAACTGGTTGAGATTACAATTAAATTTAGCTTATTGTTTTCCAATTGCATTTGTAACACTGTGAATATTGTTCATAAAATGTAACTATTTACGACACATTTACATGACCCGCCAGTCTGGGTGGGCAAAATTTTTAACCCTTAATTCAAAAACCTTACCTTCTCCCCCCTTTGTGTATATTGCTTAAGTATAATCAAATACGCATAAGGTATAATTAAACTTGCTACACTTTTAAAATTATTCTGTTTTACCAGTATTTGTTATATACAGGGTGAGACCAAAAAAATGTTTCCATATTTTACATTCTGACAATTATCAAAATGGTGACTTCACATTGCCCCACCCTGTATATATATATATTGATTTATACAATTCGGACAATAAAATAGTATTAAAGTATTGTACAGAGGTTCTTAGAGCCTCTGGGAAGTTACATTTGGCCCCGCTCCACCACAAAAGCTGAAAACCACTGAGCGACTCATCAAATATTGTTCATTTCCAGGTGAATGCATTAATAATTCCTACAAATGCAACTGTGACAACAACTCAGGGAATATTATGACTCAAGATGAAGGGTATCTGACGGACAAGAAGACTCTGCCTGTGAAAGAAATGAGATTCGGCGATTTGGGGCACAATAATGAACATGGTTGGCATACGCTTGGCAAGCTTGAGTGCATGGACTAATGCAAAAGTCTGTTATGAGGTTTAAGTCAGTGTTTTGCTAATTTACACATGTTTGAACCCTGCCAGAAATTATTTTTTTGTCAGAACGGTGGGTTTCAGGGTTTCCTCTGAACAGTCATTTTTCTCCAATTTGAAGCCAATTCGACAAGGTCTAATATTTTTTTTATATTATGGCGCGCTTGGCATGAATGTATGGAGAAATTGCAAAAAAAAATGGGGGGGGGGGTGTTTTTACTAAATCAAGAGTTCACCAGCACACCCAGGGTGAATAAACTTGGCTGGTGATGTCGGACAAGAAAAATTTCGGTTCTTCCAAGAATATGCACCTCCTCACACACTACTAAATATGTGCAAATTTTCGGACCAATTAACAAGCTTTAGTTAATTAAAATGTTGATATTTCAACCCAAAATGTCCTAAATAAATCAAAAACTTTATTTTGTGGGTTTTGTGACCCAGTCGTGGAACCGTTCGATCCAACTGTACTGGTGTCGACATACTCCGGTTATCCGGCAACCCCGGTCATCCGATAAACAGTAGCTTTTTACCTATCAGTGGATGTTTATACAATGAAAATGCCAAAAAATATGAAATACTGCTGAGTTCTTATATATACACGTCCATGGTCAAATTCGATTAATTTATTTAAAAATGCATCTATTATCCCGACTGCTCAATTTTAAATAGTTAAAAAATTTAAAATGCGCAGTAATATTTTACTTTTTTACGATAATAGTATCACGATTTACAATGTTTTTTTGTGGCAAAATTTTAACATTATTTTGTTACATATTTCACCTTTTCGTTGCTTCTTCTGGTCTGATTTGTTTTTTTACAACTTTCTTTGGACGACTCCGAACAAGGCTATATAAGCGGTAACTCAGCAGCACAGCTGGGTTGAAAAATTGTTATGTTTCCAAATTGGCTTAGCCCAGGGGTGTGCAACATTTAATGGTCGGCGGACCATATTACCAACTTCTGACATCTAGATGAGCCATTCAAATGATTCAATTTTCTTTCGTGTACGCAATGAATTGAAAAATTTTCACAACGAAAAGGCTATTGCTTAGTCTTACAGTAATAAAGGCAAAACAAGACTCAAAATTATTGATTTTAACCTGGGTGTGCGCTTTTTTAAACATAATTTGTCAGGTTAGAATTTTATGCTTGGTAGGATAAAATATGAGTGTTGACAAGGGCCACTCTTATTGTCTTGTCGGGACGGATTGTGGCCCGCCTGTAGCACACCCCTGGCTTTGACAATACAATGTACCACAAGGTCGTCGCGCCAAAAATATTCAATAATAATAATAACGTAAAACTATAGAAGTTCATGGTATTTTGAAATTTTTACTTTTTTACAATATAAATTCAATCTCTATTGAGAAAATTGAATATATCCGATTTAAAATATACAGGGTTTGTATAAAGTTCTAACTTTTTTTAGTTGCTACATTATTTCATATGGACATCGCGCCCAGGAATATTCAATATTAATAATAATAATAACGTAAAACTATAAATGTTTATGGTATTTTAAAATTTTTACTTTTATACAATAGAAATTCAATATCTATTGTGAAAATTGAATATATCCGATTTAAAATATACAAGGTTCTTATAAAGTCCTAAACATTTTTCTTTGCAAGGGAATTTATCGATAACAGATAATAGTTTGTTGGCCTCTACAGGTGTTTCAAATTGAGTTAATACTAATTTACACAAAGATTGAAATAAAAAAAAATGGTTGAGATATATTAAGAACAGACTTTAAATAAAATTGAAATTATAACGAAAGTTTATAAACACCCTGCATATGAAAACCGTGGACAATATTTTATAATAAATTAAAATAATATCTGACTAGGTCTACGTTTGGTACCCTCGTAGTAGGTGTACCAGGTTAGACCATAATTTCATTCCGATTTTTCTTATTTTAGTTCTATTCCTGCCCATAGGCTTTCGTCTCTTTACACAACTTATGTAAAGTGGGCAAACAACATTAGTTACCTCCATATTGGTACACATACCTCTGGAGCGCCCCATGTTATCCCAAGTCTGATAAAAACAATTTCTGGCTGAGGTTGATGTTTATTTTTTCTAATATGAAACTTTAATTCTGTGACCAATCATTGTGTTTTTGTCCTCATGATAATATATCTCGCACAAGCAACAGAGTGGCATTTACTTGTATCTGTATGATACGATAGCTTGACGTCAGGTATGGAAATTGTAAACCAAGTTACCTGATTTAGTGACATGGACTTGACGATGGGGGAAGTCGTAAGCTTTAGCTAAATTTTGAAATTTGTGCGATTCAAGAGCTGTTTATCCCAAATTGAGGCCACGTTCACAACACGAGCCCCCACCTTACTACGTCAATCAAAAATTACGTCACTACGATACCACGGTAACGTAATAGGGACCAAAAACTATAACGAGAATATCGGTCAGAGACCGAAGACTTATCGATCGAAAGTTAGGGGATCTCCCCAAAACAGCGCTCTTATTCCATAGTGACACCTTGTGTCCCATCATTAATTAATTGATAACTCGCTAATTATTTGACATAATTCGCCCAAAATCAATAGGCTCCTGGTACGAGATATGATGAATGCACATGCAAAATCTGCAGCAGATCCAATCTTGCTTTCGTGAGATATCGCGTGCATCTAACAGACAGACAAACAGACAAATACCCATCAACATACGTACCGATTAAAATCGATAAGTAATAACTGTCATCCAAGGCGCGTAGACGGTCACCTGAAATCGAGCAAGCTATTTCTCTCGTTTTCACGCCGTAACGATCCCTATATGAGATATCACTGGCGTAAGTGAGTTCGTTGACGTTGGCGAAGATGCCATTTCGGGCAATCGTAGCTATGATTTGGCAAACTCTTTGACGTGATTGGGAGGTCGTAATGACGTAATCTTTGGATGACGGAGCCAGGTGGGGGTTAGGAATACCATATGCAAAAATGGTTTGCCACGCCAAATAGAGGAATTAAATAGAAGAACGGCGTTTAGTGTATAGGATATTGGGTAAATTAGCTGCTTTTGGTTAATAGTTCGTGTTTTAATAAACTTACCTCGCCAATGTCCGTTTACACCTCTCAGGTGAACTCTACTGCAAATAATCACGTTTACCTGTCGAATATTTTATTTAAACTTGACTAGAAGCCGTATTGACATCATTTATCGGCCCTTTTTTCGGTTTTCTTAGAATAAAAGGATTTCATTCTAACATTGCTGAAATAATTAAAAAAAATTTCGGTCTCTTAGCTGGAAGATGAGCGTTCAGGTACTTTGTAAAGCAGGGTGTCAAGTTTTTTCCATCTTGACTGGCGGGCTGGTGTGACGTAAAATGTAACATTTTATGAACAATATTCACAGTATATACAGTATATTACAAAAGCAAAAGTGTGAGTAGCTCAATAGACCCCGAGCCAAAACTAAATTTAATCGCAATCTCAACAAATTTCTTGAGTTATTTTTTAGCTGAAACCTCAAAATTTCGTTTTAGTTTGGTTGTGACAGGTTGTGAAGGACTCAACGGCCATAGTTTACCCATGTCAGTTGGTAAAGAGTCTCTTTGCTCGCGCAGCCATAATTGGACACGTAGTGGACATAACGATCGTTTCAATATTATGTTGTTCTTGTTCTTGTTGGTCTTGTTGTTTGACACAGAATAATACACCTAGTGGAAATATTAAAAAACCGCTTTTCTCTTCGAATACTGGACCAATTGCTTTGAAATTTTCAGTGGTTAAAGATAAATTTTTTCCCCAGAAGGCTATTACTTTTATTCATTTTAAATATTTCTGTTAGCTCTGTGAGATTTGTTTTTGTTTGCTATGAAGTCATTGAACGTTCTGCGGGCATCGGACGCCATTTTGTGTCCTACTGTACTGCTTGGCTTGGTGTGAATATATTTGTAGACTGTGATCTGACGGTACGGTAAACCGTACTGTACTGCGAACAGACGTGTCCATATATTTGGGCGTAGCTTTCTAGTTTTCCATCGGAAGCAAAACCCTCAACCCAGCCTGCCATTTTGAACAACCCGAACCCGCTTCATCTCACAGTTTTACATTTTATTTCCTGAAATACATCTCGCCATAAAATTTCTTCATTGTAAATTCTACTCGGTAAATCGTTTAACAAAACCACGGCCGTGAGCGTGGATAATCGATTTGAAGGGAAAACGATTGCCGTTATCTTCATCAAGATGTTATATACAGTGCCGAAGACGGGACTAAGATTAATAGGGTTATGTTATCTACGGACCATGCTTGAACTTTTGTGATTTCATATATCAATATTATTTGAATGGTTTATCGAAATCGCGATGAAACTCAGCTGCTTGAAATGTGAATATTAAGCATGGCGAATCTGGCAACCTTCATCAGCGTGAAGCTTCAGAATCAATGCTTAGCTTGAAATTTTGCGCGACTTATTAATTTTACCATGAATCCCACTTATTGGCATTTTGCTTGTAAAGTCACGGGACTGCGGTAGATTAATAATTAAGACTGTACTACCTGGGTAGGGTGAGATGCGAAACCCCCCTTTTGAAATGTGAGAATAAAGAATTTTTTGCATCATGCATAGCAGTTTTTCGTTGCTTGGAACGCCTTTTAGACCCTCAAGACAGTTAAAAACTCACGTTTCCTCGAAGCGCTAACTCTTACGACCTTACTCAGCAATTAGACATTTCAGAACCTCCCTTGAAAATTACTGGCTATGTATCCGTATACCACCAAATTATTTTCTCCGAAAAACACGCTTATAATATCTGGGCAACAAAATTTGAAAGGCAGAGCCGGATTTTCCCAAACTATATTAGATACTACGTTCCGGTGTCCACCATCGTGGTTCGATACTACATGAGTACCCACTATCGTGTGTGTTGTCCCAGTTTTCAGAGAAATATAGGAAGTTCTTTGGTTAATATCATAATCAGGTCCTTGACTGCTATATTCAGTGTTTAATTAGCTTTACGTTATGTTATAACGACGACAAACAATATAGCAGAAAACAGTCTCAACGATTGGACATGAGCAGAGAAAGGCCACGTTGCGTAACACAACAATAATCACTGATATTTCTGATTCAACCGTGAGTCATCGATATAAATAATATTTTAACCTGTTCAACTTGTTTTCAACTTTTTTGACCTGTTTGATTTCAGGAAATGAACGTTTGAAACCTTCGCTACTTTAAACTAGCATAACCCTGGCTTCAGATATCGTTTCATAAAGATAGAAAGAGCAGCATTTACCAAACTCTCTTTTTGTGACGCAACACGTATCCTAAAATTTAAAATAGAGAAAACAACATTACTTTCAGTTCTAGAGTCGTGAGTGAGCTTGCGTAGGATACATCTCGATGCGAATAGATTGAGGCTTCATTCTAACCTACGCTGTTCAGGCATCAACTTTCAGTGGAGCAAAATTCTTGGATTTGAAATGAAGATTCCGATTCAATACATTCTTCTTATGTTTATCGAGGCATTTCAATTGATTAAAGGTCAGTATAACCTTGCACGCTTTGTTGGGTTTACTTGCTTGCCTGGCTTTTGTTTCGTGAAATTTAACGCTCGCTTTTCACTCTTCGGATTACATATTTGTATCAGGGGTGATATTTATTTATTCCGGCGTAGAGGAGACCAGTATGACGGTGTAATGATGTAACAAACCTTGGGTAGGATTAAGTACGGAAAAAATCTAACTAGATCTTCGTTGCACTCCAAAAGCGGAAACCGTCATTGATATAAAAAATTGATGATTGTTCGTATTCAATGCGTTGCGCATGCCGTAACGTAGATCGTGCTAAATGGCAGTTCCTTCATCCTAATATAGATATATATATGCGATACAACGCTTTGGTTTTAAAATCTCCGATGAAAGGATCACCTAATTTGAAATGTTTTTGTTTTTTAACCTAAATTTTTGGTATCGTAATATACAGTCGAATCCTTATGTTCAGCCGTAAAAATTTGATCGTAGATTAGCGGGTGTGGTAGCCTATTGGTAAAGCGTTGGACTCGGAGAAATTTAGCATCGCGTAGTAAAATCTTTGATTTAGTTTTTTACCCACCACCACACCCAAGGTGTTGTAAACTAAAAAAACAATGCCGAATCAACAAGATTGCTGATTCCGAAATACAGACGCTAATTACGTATAAGTGGCCGTCTTGTTTGTGTAGGAATTCAAACTGTCAAATAAAAATCATCGAAGGATGTTAAATGAACTACAGAAGTACTATAAACTATCTGTAGCCGGAAGAAGAGCCAAAGCAGCAAACTATGGGGGGATTTGACTTTCCTAGGCAGGATAAAATTGTATAGGGAATGAGCGAATGCGCGCCATAAGGAAATATGTACTGAATTAGTCTCGTTCAGTGACATCATTTTTGTTTATCAGTTATAAACCTATTTTAAAATGAACAATTCGTTCGATTTCTACTTTGAATTTTCTCTCAACAGGTGAGAAATGCTGGATGCCTATGGTTTGCGACGGGAAACCCACTTGGAGAGACGTTAATACTGTGAGAGCTTTAGCAGTAGTTCCATATTAGTGGTATTATTTGCAGAAATAAAACCGTTTCGTTTGAAATCTGAAAACAAAAATAAGAAAATTGAATTTATTAGGTATTTTTCATGTATAATTGCTGGAAGTTTAAAACTTATTTATATTGATTACTTATCGCAGATTTTTCACGATAACCCATCGAAACCCATTTTCACGGCGTATGGGAATTGCTGAGATAACCTTACTGCACGAATGTGCAACCTTCATGTTCATATATATCTAAACATTTCTCTCTTGTTCCATTTCAGAAAGGACAGTGTACAAAAGAAGAAGATAAGGCTTTGGAAGGTTCGTTTTCATAAAATAATTTGATTCAAAATACGTTTGCTATTTTTCAAATGGTCTGGTAGCAAACATGCCCTCGAAAAATCGTTTTATTGGAAAAATTTAAATATTGTATATTTTTATTGCGCCAATTTTAACAATCACATAATGACGTGTAGTTTAGCAATACACCAGAGAGTGAGGGGTACATATCTTCTAACAAAAAATTCACTGAAAACGGGTTATTATGGCTCAATTTGAATTCTTTATTTATTTATGTTTTGCAGCTTTAACGGAAAAATTAGACGGGATGGAAAGTAAGTTCCATCAATTAAAAATGACCATGGAAGAATCAGAGACAATTTCAGTGCCACCCTTTGTTGTAGGTGTCAAAGAAATGACCACGCACTCTGTTGTAGGTCTCAAAGAAATGACCACGCCCTTTGTTGTAGGTGTCAACGAAACGACCACGCCCTCTGTTGTAGGTGTCAAAGAAACGACCACGCCCTCTGTTGTAGGTGTCAAAGAACCGACCACGCCCTCTGTTGTAGGTGTCAGAGAACCGACCACGCCCTCTGTTGTAGGTGTCAAAGAACCGACCACGCCCTCTGTTGTAGGTGTCGAAGAACCGACCACGCCCTCTGTTGTAGGTGTCAAAGAACCGACCACGCCCTCTGTTGTAGGCGTCGAAGAAACGACCACGCCCTCTGTTGTAGGTGTCAAAGAAACGACCACGCCCTCTGTTGTAGGTGTCAAAGAACCGACCACGCCCTCTGTTGTAGGTGTCAGAGAACCGACCACGCCCTCTGTTGTAGGTGTCAAAGAACCGACCACGCCCTCTGTTGTAGGTGTCGAAGAACCGACCACGCCCTCTGTTGTAGGTGTCAAAGAACCGACCACGCCCTCTGTTGTAGGTGTCGAAGAAACGACCACCCCCCAAGGTATAAAAGTCTATGTCTTTTTGTACCGCATGCAGGTATATATATTTGTAATCGCATTTCTATATCTGGTTTGCTATGTGATTAAACCATCTCATTGGGTCCCCTCTCTCATGTGATGAATATCAATAATCCTATCCTAAAAGCTGAGCTAACTCCTAATCGAACTCGGAGTCTTATTTAAAACGAATTTGTACTTAAGTCCATTTCATGCAAGCCTGCCTAAATAGACTGTTAAGAATTCTTAGCAAACCTGCCTTTTGAGTTTTTAGTGATAATTTTAAATTGTTATCATTAAAAGTCTGACATTCCGACAATTGATTATCTCTGGACTTCAAAGCTGAGTCGGAGTTAAAATTGTTTCGACCAGATGTCGATTTTGAATTTCATCCGACTTTACAGCCCGAGATTATCGTAAAAGGCGGCTATTTAAATAGCGATTGGGAACATATTTCCATCCCTAAGTTGCTGTCTATATTGGCTGTATGTATCAACCCGATGTAGGTTGTGAATTTCACCCGACTTCACATCCCTGTTCAGAATAAAATAATATTCAGTTTGGGCCTCAATACAAGGCTCTGACTTTAAAAAAGTTCTTCTGTGTTTTTCAGTCGATCTTACATGTGATTTTGAATCCTCAACCAACCCTACATGCGGCTACGCGAGAGTTAATGGAACATTTCAGAGAGAATACAGAGATAATGACGTTACAGGTATTGTTTCCATATGGCACGCTTACGCATACGTCACCTTTACTTCTGAGTGAGTGCCTGTAACTTTACTTACAAATTGGTCACTTTTACTTATGAGTGAGTTCTCGAAACTTTGCTTGAGAGATTGGCCTTTTTATTTCTGAGTGATTGCTGATAACTGTCTCATACATGAGTCTCTCTAACTTCAGAGTGATTGCTTGTAATATCTGACTAGGGATAGTAAATTTAGAATAAATTACTATTTCAAAATACTCAAATCAATTTTGGAATATCGAGTCCTATTCTATTTTTTATCACATGGGGGGGGGGGGGGAGCTGATAATAAGACTTAATCCCATGTTGAACCACGGTCTCTCATCTGGTCATCATTCTATGTATGGGATTTGTTAGCCAGATTTGTTTCAGATGCATGGACTTGATGGTGGAGGGAGACGTTATCGATGAAGGTTTACGTGAACCACCATATGGCGGCGAGAAAAATCCTCTCGCTTATGGTTATTCCCCACAGGATTCAAACTTGTGCGAACCCACTCAGGGTAATTAGAGGCGCGATGGCAAGCGCATTTCTAATGCTTACCACATTGCGCCAAACTGTGTCAGTACGCGTTCAGATTTTAGACTCTCTCGCAAAATTTGAAAGAACTTGTGTCGAAAAATACTTGCGCTTTACGGTTCTCACACCAGATAACCTCTCATTTTGTATTCTAATGCATTCTAGGTTATGTTCTTGCTGGTAATGGTACAATCAGATCCTTACCCAAGGCTTTGGCTGGCAATGAGGAACTATGCATGAGTGTCGACATAAAAGAGACATCTGATGGAGAACTGGTGGCTAAGGCTTACAATGGAACTGTAACGTAAGTAGCTAACACTGTCTTTATATTTTTCCCGACTATTCGTCGCTTTCACTCCGGAGCATGCTTTGTATAGGCAGTCACTGTAGTGTACAGTGAAGAATTATTTGCTTGGGGAGGACCTTAAAAAATAATGGGTTTGAGCAACTGAAGTTTTTCAAAGAATAGAGTCCAAATATTGTCTTAAGTCTCCTGCATTTCAAGATTCAAATTCAGTTAATATATATTGAATTCTTGTAATAAATTCAATTTATTTAGACAAGTGAATTATTCGATTTTAACCTTCCCTGCCAGATTAAGGTTGCATTACGTCTTCAATGCTTCGAACCCTCCCATCAGCACACATTGCCTTCATATCCATTCTATTTGGTTTTGCGTAGAAGAAATGAGGCTCATTGCTGGCTTGGGGCAGGTAAAGTTGATGCGCTCTTAAAGAGAGTCAAATAATAGATTAATAATAATAGATTTTGATTTGTTTTGTAATTTTTAGGAAAGCAATTTGGCCGTTTTCTGCGTCTACTTTCTGGAAAACCGAGAAATTCATTTTAAAGAAAGTAAACTCTGCAGATACAGAGGTTTGCAATACATTTGTTGACGAAAAGATTTTTAAATCAAAATTGCTTTGGATGTGAATCCCATCTCACATTACGCAAAAGTCTCGCTTCATCAACGTGCAGAGGGTTGTAATCATTTTTTTGCATAAATGGAGTTTTTCTAGAATCCCTTTACAAACCGGGAACACATATTGAACGTTTTATTAACTTTTCTCTCCGCATGTGTAAACCTCAAATGCAGATCTTTTGACTCTGTGAAAATCCACTTGCAATTCTGATCCATTCAAGGACTGACTCCAAACTGACAAAAATTCTGATTCTAATTACCTCACTCTGAGTCAAACCAGGAAAACTAAAATCTTGTGACAATAACTCTAACACATGCAAGCTAGTTGAGAATACTTAGTAAACTTAATGTTTTTTGCTATCTGTTTGAAAATTGTTTTCGATTATCACATTTAGAAATCTGGAATCCCAATTGCTTACTTAGTAGTTAGAAAGTTTGATTCCGACTTATCACGAAAGCATTCTCAACTTTCACTATAGATTCTACCTCGCAGCCTTTCAATCTTTTTTTATTTCATTCAGGTCCAACTTGAGCTTGTGGCATCCGGGAACGTAGAGTTAGACAACATAACAACTTTGAACTCCTCCGAATGTTATGGTCTAGGTAAGTGCTTCGAGATTTATTTAGTCAATGGCGAAGTTTTTGGAGCTTTAAATGTTGTCTCGGATATTTTCGGGTTCCGCTTGCACTAAGCACTTTATTTCTGAGTGGGTTCGTGTGACCTTGCCCAAAGCAAATAAGATGACGTTTGACCAAAAATATTTAAGAGCTCACAATCATATTTTTGTAAAAAAAACTACAAAAGGCAATTATCCTAAATAAAATTAATAAAAGTTATTAATCAAAACGTAAAAATGAATAGAGAAATATACTCCTTAATAATTGTTTCATGAATATCTGACTTCAAACTCTTTTGAATGTAATTTTTGTTTTAGAATATGGCGTTGTCTATAATTCCAAACGTTTTCGAGCGATCTTGAGCGGGGGCGTCACGTTAAGCGTCGCTGAATCTCTATGCGAAAACAAACTGGCTAACATTTATGACGTCACACACTACAACCTGCTTCAAGATTATTTACGAACAATGATTCCTGATGACCGGTCACTAATTGGTCTTCGTATCGGAATGACTTACGAGGTACGTCGTGTCTGAATCATGTTGCTTTTGCAGCCATACATGAAATCAATATAAAATGTGGCCAATATTGTTACCGCTAAAAAGTTTGCTTTGTAAGATCATATGGCAAGGATTAACGGTTCAACCATACTCAACTATATTTTTTTAATGTTATTGTTATATTTCTCAAAAAATATATGTTACTTCAACAGAACGGTCAGCTGTATTCAACGACGGGCCAAGCTATATCTCTGCCAACTGAGGTTTGGTATCCCAACTTTCCACATTCCGATGCATCGCGCACAGATGTTGTTGTTCGTGTCAGAGAAAACCCTGAAGAAAATAATCAAGGGATTTCTAATGTTACTCCTTCCAATGTACAATACGCAGCCATCTGTGAAAATGAATTATAACTTTGTCTTTTGAATGATCGAAAAACAAAAAAACGTAGAATTACTTGAGATTAAGAGTTATTGTTATTCACCCTAGTAGATAAGTATTTCCACAGTTGAACAAGCATATGCTCTCGAAAATTCGTTAGCCACACATACATCCTAATTTATACCCCAACTTACTGTTTCCACGGCACACAGTTGAACGAGCATATCAAGTAAATATATCCTGCATGCGGTATGGCATGACCTTGATAAGGGATACTTATCACTTGTATGAGGCGGTTAGTTTACCGATACTTTTACTTATTGAATGCATTTAAAACGTCACGATGATGGGGATTTTGTAACTGCCTGAGATGTTTCAAATTTTTATTCAGAACAAGGCTCTGCTTACTTATACTTGGAAAACTAAGAATCGTTTGTTTTGGCTAAATTCGAACTGTATTACATATATCACAATGAGCCTGAGATACATAGGTCACAATCGGCCTTCTAGAAGAGTTATGTTCGCATGATATTTGAAATTATATTGAAAAGAGACGGAATCGATGACCATGTTCTCTTATTTGCTCCACACAATCAATATATGTTGAACCGATGCGATTTAATGCCCACTTATTCTAATGTTCTGCCTGACGGGCTTTTCTTGGGTAGGAATTTCAATAAAACTGCATTCATTGTTAGATTTCCACCGAACAAACTATTTTTTATTTTTTAGATATGTTTGAAGTTATTATTTTAACCAATTTGTTTCTGAGTGAATGTAAATAATCTTAAAATATTGGCGATTCGTTTTATTCAAATATATATTTCATGTTCGAGAAATTTCCTTGAATTACAAAAATGTTTGATACTACGTCTTCGTATCTGTAACCTCTAAATATCTAAAAATTTTAAGTTTTAAAAAGACATCGTCTTTAAATATTCGTCATTGAACCTTTTTGATGAGGCTGTAAAATCGGAGAAAATCACAATCGAATCTGAAAAAATAAAACTAATAATGAAACCTTTGGTAAATGCAAACTTTCTTTAATTAATTCGAATTTATGGTGAAATTTTGATTTTTTTTTGAAAACATTAAAAATCTACAATTCCGACAAATTCAGATCTCGCTCTAGTGGGAACTCCGACTCAACAGCCCTGTATTTTTTCAAGTTTGTCATTTTGCGATGAATCGTTTTATGAGAATCATTTAAAAAACTTGAAATCAAAATGACCATAAACAAATGTACAGAGTAGTTTTAATATAAACATAATTAGTCGGAATGGATTTTTTATTATTTTGCAGAATTTATTTTGTTATTGCTATTTTAACTTTTTTACCTACGAATACCATTCTAGAAGGTCGTCTCTCATTTTAAAGCACTTTAGGTAAAAGCTGTGTAATTGTTGTTAATTGTTCTTGATTAAAATATTTTGCACATAATTTTTACACTTATTTTCGATGAGTCCAAGAGCTCATATTGTCGCTGTTGTTACGATCTTATACCTTTTTATAGCAATTACTAGGACCATATATTTCTCCCATATAAAATAATCACATTAATTAAAGTTTTTTTGCTAAGGGAATCTTTTCACAAATATAAGGTTGATTTACCCAACTTTCGGGTCCGATTTTTCAATTGTCTTTTATATATTAATTTAACATTTTTTTCGATTTTCATTAATTTAAAGGTATGTTATGACCCACAGAAAATATAAAAAAAACGTTATCAGAAAGTTTCAAAACCAAAATCAAATACAGCATTGTTCTCGCTTTTAAATATGTAAATTTTTATAATCCGTATGCCCTTTCCTCCCTCCCGGGCTCTCGAAGCATGACAAGGTATTTCATTTCTCTTGCTTTTCATTTTTTATGTTTGTAAATTAGTGTGATATGCAATTTTTTTAATACCTTCGCCCTGGTATTTTATTTGTTAGATGTGTTTCCGAATCTTATCATTTTGGGCATATATTTTGTCAGAACAAATTATTTTTCACGAACTGTACTTAACAAATGAAATTTATGAAAAATAATTTGAACTTTTAATGCGGAAATTTTATTTGCTTCTGTGTGTGAATAAAATTGTCTTGCAAAAACTTTCCAGGAGTAATCCCCGAGCATGGCGCATTGTTCACTCGAACCCCAGAAAATTAAATTTTGACTCGAACTCACTGGAAAATCAAATTTTGACTTGAACCCAAAGAAAATCAAATTTTGACTCAAACTCGGAGAAAATCAAGTTTTTACTTGAACTCAAGAGTCCCTCCCTTGTCCATTGTTTTACTGAACTTGAGATAAGGTACGATTTTACGATAATACAGTTATAATTTCTCACAATCGCAATGCACTTTTACTGAACAAAGATCACCAGCACAGTATTGTACTCAGATTTCCGTACTTATCCAGGAAAGAATCGTATATGTAATATTCGTGATAAGTACGAACACAAAAAATATCTATATAAACTGAAGTTTATCAGAGAGTTGAATTATAATAATTTATGAGCTGAAATCATGTTAAGTAAGATGAGAAACGCGCTATTTTTCGCTGATCCAACCATTAGCTTACAGATTATTTCCATTATTTTTGAAAAGATTCTAAATTTTCGATTTTACTATTTTGTATGTATGAATACACAAACGAGAGGTGCCGCGTGTCGATATATTGCATTGCCAACATCACCCAACGTAGATAGAATACTGAATCCTGATGAGTATTTATGGACCACCATAAGCTAAATATCGCTAAACTCTGAGAATCACTTAATGCCGCACTTAATTATAATTCTGATTCATTTCAGATATATCTGATGAAAAATTGTGAATCATTAGATATAAAGATCACTCGTTAGTTGAATCTTGCTGTGTAAAATACAATAAAATAACTGGTATTTACATGTAATTGTGACTAATGATTAGTTCAGTTCAAACCAAAATTGAACAATTCACGGGATGAAAATTGATCACAAAACGAAGGTAAACAAAAAGAAAATCAATTCTCTCAATTAGACATATATACAATAGAATAGTCCACCTAATTCAGTAAATTTCCATGTTCCATAAAAATATTGATCCATAATTTTAAACGAAAGAGGTTTTTTCAATATATGGAGACGAAAGTGACGGTCTCATTAAAATGTGTTCCCATACTTCATAAAAAATGTTCCCATGAATGAAAAAACAGTAAATGTTTGATTAGAATAATAGACTTTTAGGGACTTCTAACATATAATAACTTTAGTGTATATCGGGCTCCAAACGACTCAAAATATAAAACGAGAATATCGGTCGGAGACCGAAGACTTATCGATCGAAACTGCGGTTTCGAATCGCGACTCTATAGTGACACCGCGTGTCCCATCACTAATTAATTAATACCTCGCTAATTATACGACGTAATTCATCCAAAATCAATAGGTTTCTGGTCCGAGATATGATGAATGCACATGCATGCATTTGGAGGAGATTCAACCTCGCCTTCGTGATATGCCGCGTTCACCTAATGGACAAACAAATAAACAAACAGACAGACAGACAAATACCTATCCACATACTTACCGATCTTAAGATCGATAAGTAATAATAATGTAATAACTTTCAAAAGACTTCCTCAATATAGAATAAAAGGGTTGCGATATGGCAATTAAAAGTTGTTCCCAAACTGAAAAAAATATTGTAAAATTTGAGTTGGGATATCAGACCTGTATTTATCGAGATAAATTGAAAAAATAAATATTAGTAACATTTTTCTTAAAATTTCTTCCATCATTGCGTGTTCTTAAATGCCGAATAAAAGTGTTCCCACGAAATAAAATGCAAAGTTTTGGATGAAATATTGAGCCCAGAATGACATAAAAGACGCATTGAAAAATTGAAGTAATAGACTTAATTGGTATGAAAGTGTTCCCAGTAATCGAAATAAAACAATAAAATTTGGAAGGAATATTGCCTCCTGTAGGACTCACAAAAAGTTTGAAATACTCAAAGTTCATTAAATCAAAAACCAAAAGAAAATCACTCGAATCACGAAAATAATCAAATGAAGATAAAATAAAATAAAGTCAATTTACTTAATTATAAATACATACAATATTCACAAAACGAAGTTCACTTTATTGAGTAAATCTGTTACAAAAAATATATTGTTTTACAATCTTAAACAATGGAGCAATGCTCAAATATACGGATACAAATGTCTCAAACGTTACATAAAAATGTTTTTTGGGGGATATTTGACCCCGAAACACTCCAAATTAGGGTAAAAAATAAACTACAGTATTACGTTTGCAGAGACTTTCGCAACATAAAAGTGTTCCCATAAGCTGTATAAAAACTGTTCCCACGAATTAAAAGAAAACAGCAAAATTTTGGGTGTGATATTTGGACCTGAAGGACTCAATAAAAGTGCTCGCATAAACTGAAATACAACAGTAATTTTTTGGCAAAATATTAGGTTTGTATGAAGAATGAAAAATTTAAAACGAATCCTCATAATCAGACGCATTTTGATGAGCTTCAATGATCTTAGTAAAATAATATTTTGCTTCTGAATCTTTTTTCATATATCAAATCACAAAATGATCTGCAAAACAAATAGGTAAACACAAGAAAAAATACTATCACACATGTACCTTAAATGCTATTCGAAGCAATATTATAGCGCGAATGTGGGTGGAGTATCTTTTAGATCGATTATTGACAATTCAATGTCTCTCTTTTTTTGAGTTTCATTCTTTTAATCAGTGGCATTCTGTTTTGCTTCAATAAAATAAGATTCTGCCTCTGCATATTTCTGCAGGCTATAATGTCCTGCACCGATATTATGCAACAGTGCACCGTATATTCGATATTTTGAAGCGTATGAACCGAACTGTAGATCAAGAACTCCGTCCGTTAGTAAATATTTTTATACTTTTTCTGTATTCACCCGCAAGTTTATAGTTAGACCCTATGACAATCGCGCACCAAACCTGTTTCATCACTTTATTCACTGGATCCGCGTTTTCTATTGCGCGAATATCATCCAGCATTTCTGTCATGTATTCTATCCCGTAATCTACTCCTATAATTTTAGATCGACCACCAGCTCCTATCATTGACTCTGTGGCTTCATTCTACGAATAGAAGTTCAATCTCATTCATTACATCATCGGGAAATGTTGCGGTACTTGTATATATCACTTGCTATACAATGCAATATTATAGCGCAAATGTGAGCGGAATCCGAAATCAAATCAATGGCAAAGGCTTCGACGTCTTTCGCGCTGGTCATCGATGACGTCATCAAGATGTTTCTAAGATTGCCAATAACCTCTTCCGCTTCGTTTCTTCTGCCAAGATGTAAAAAAACTCAATCATCAGAAGTATTATATCGAAATCCTGATTGTTTTGGGGTTGCCAGTTCCTCTAAGATTGAGACTGCCTCTTCATATTTAGACTCGTCAATTAGCTTGGAAAAATTTTCTGAAAATGAAACAGGCTTCAAAATAATTGACAAACGGAACTATCGAAAACATAGCATATTTAGATTTAATTTCTTCGGTTTTCAGTTGTTTAAAATGTCCATTATAAACTAGTTATATTTCGAATAAACGAACATAATAACTGTAAAATGATGGTAAGTTTTCTCACTTTTTAACAGCACATTAATGTGTAAAATGCAAAGCAAATGTAACTAATTATAGCATTACATGTCAACAGTAGCGCGTTAGAGTTTCCGTTTTGTGGCTGCAAGTTAAAGAACGTTCACCTTTTATACCTGCTTACATTGGGCGGTTAGGCTAATATCGACATTATTCAGAAATTGTAATCCTTGGTAGAACAGGAGGGGTTTGGCTTTTTCAATCCCAATAGCTTTACGCAGTAAGATTTTGAAGTCTTTTATTTATTATTATTCATACACCATTTTCACAGTTTTCGTACCGAAAAAAGGTCCTGTACATGTAACTACGAATCGGAATCTTTTCAAGTAGGCTTTGCGTGATTACACTGTGTGGGCTTGGGAACCCAAAATAAATAACTTCGATGTCAACAGTTAATAAGTGCTGTACTTACTTCGCAGTGTTGAAATCTTCAGAGGGTTATATCCACTTGCCGCAGTGCTGGTAGGTGGTAGCGACCTTTGTTGATCCGAGTTGTCTGTTGAAGAAACTCTTGGGATGTCTTGAGCTCTGAGATCACCTGGAAGAAATATAGATTTTCAGATGAAAAAGGTAAAGCATGATGACTAGAGATTAGTGTTCTAATTAATCATTAGGAAACTATGGTTTATAATCAGGTTATTTTGTGTTTGAAAATAGACTTTCAATGGTGGGACTGAGCGATTACCATAGAAGTTAATTGAAACACTCTTTTAAAC